TATTCCCACATAATGCTTGTTGCAGCTGAAAAATGAGGCAGCGATGTTGCTGCTAAAAAATGAAACAGAGATGTTGCTGCTGAAAAATGAGCAAGAGATGTTGCTACTAACAATAAGGTAGCGATGTTGTTCAAAATGAAGGGTTATCACTCCCCCTCATATCCGACGATATATGAGAGTCGAGATTTGGTAGAAGCAACACCAAAATAAAGTTGTGTTGATGTTCAGTAGATGCTGCTTGATTTGAATGATTAATTTGCCATTATATCTATGTGTATACTAATTGATTGGCTAATGATTCTATGATATATATATATATATATATATATATATATACCCAATTTTGGTGCAAGGATGTCCTCCCAAAATAAATCTCAAGGAGATGTACTTTGCAACTATCAAATGAGAGGACGGGGAGAGGGATGAGCAGAGTAGCTGAACTCAAGCTCAAGTTAAAGGTCCTTTTATCCTAAGGGATATAGTACATGCTTCTGCTATATATTTATGTACGTACTTCGGGATTTGTTTGATTTTTTAATTGGCTGGCTATATATCATTATATCATAAGTAAAGTTTTGTACTTTTATTTTCTCTCTCATCTTTCATCTCTTTTCAGGTTAAGTGGAAGAACTAAGAGCTCTGAAATATAAGAGGGTGGCATATGAATTCAACAAAAGAAGCTAGGTTAGGCTGGCTAATTAAGTAGCACACATATTTCTATAAAAAGCTGAATTCAACCAAAGATGCAAGTTTAGGCTAGCTGGTTAAGTACTATGCATATGACTATAAAAGCTAAATTCAACAAAATTAGCTTGTTTAGGCTAGTTGTCCCCTAACCTTCAACATTGGCTTCCTTCTTACAAATCACAGTTTGACACATATGAGAAAATAATTCATCAAAAACACACAAATTTTTTGTGTGTAAACATATCACACTGCTATAGGTAAGAATGGATGAGCTCCTACTTACATGATAAGGAGGCAAGTATTTTTCAAAAATAAATGTGATAAAACAAATTAACCGATTGAATTAAATTTGATTATTTGAGAAAATATGTGAATCGGTGCAAACTCGTGCTTTCTTGAATTTAGAGGTCCAATTCGAGTCATGTATGGAGTCATTAAAAACTTTAATAATTTAGATATCATAAATCAAGTATTTTGGTTTTGAGTTTGGAGAATGGGTTTTACATTTTATTTTGTAATAGGCCAATAAGGAAGGAGGCCAAAATTGAATGGGCCGATTTAAATTTCTCAGGGAAAAGACTATTTTGCCGCTTTTATGTTAAGAATGCACCACCATAACATGTACTACGGCCGCAACCCGAACTCCCATCGACCGTAGCCCAGACCCCTACCGGCCACCACCTTTACTTAAATTAATAATTAAAAATTTAGACAAAACACCATGCCATTTGTAGGATTCCAACCCACAACTTCCATTATGCACAAATTCACTTGACTAACAAAGCTAGGCCACACTTTTGCTTATCTTGGATTTTAATTTTATTTATAGTTTAACTTTTATTGAGTGGCACGTAGCGTTTTTAATTAAATAATTTTTTATTAAAGTACAAAATTAAACTACACTATATAATTAAACTACTAGTATTTCACCTTTTTCTTTTTTTCTTTTTTTTTCTTTCTCAATTTTCTTAGCAATTAATTTCATATCATAACTAATGTATTAATTGATTATTTTGTTGTAAAAAAACATATATAAAAAAGTTAGCATTTAACTTATAATACATAAAAATACATATTGTGTTGCAAATTCTATTATATAAACATAAAAAGACCAATATAATAGTAACATAAAAATACAAATTATTTTGTAGTTTCCATTTATAAAACCAAATATACCAATATAAGAGTAACATAAAAATAGCACCTTTGGCGGGACTGGCGACCTGCAGTGGTGATGGTGGCGGGCGATCGGTGATTGGCCGCTGCCGGAGTTGGGGCGTCGGACATGGGGCGGTGGGAGTTGGGTCGTCGGACATGTGGCGTTGTGTGATTAGCTTGAAATAAATTTGTTAAAATATTGGAGTGGCAATGTTCGTAATTTTAAAGTTTTTAAATTATATTATTGTAAAATTGGATACTATATTATAGTCATTGATCTTATCTAGATTAGGTAAAATTAAATTATCATCTACCACAATAGTAAACTTCCTATTAATTTTCCAAGATCCCTAATTTTAAACCCAATAAAATTTTCCAATTTTACCCTTCTTAATCTTTTACATTCCCCACATTATGTTTCTCTTTCTCCCTTATAAAAATTCCCTTCAAAATATGATAAATAACAACAATTAATTAAACGTTAAACACAAAAAAATAAGAAAAGAAAGTTCTTTTCCTTCTACAAGTTATTAAAGGGCTGGACCGCGAATAAAACCTCCTCCTAGTTTTTTTATTCCCCTTGGCTTGTTTGACAAGTACCTGGGTTCAGTTTATCGGCGGAGTTCTTCGTTTGTAATTCAAGTATCAATTTTGTTCCGCAATTACTTTTCGAAAAGACCATAAACCCTAGCTTGGCTGACGGAGCAGTTTCTTCGACCTCGAAAGATTTACAGATATGGTGAGTATTAATATCTCACCCTTTCTCATATATTTTTCTTTTGATGTATCAAGCTCTTTCTCATTCGTTGTTGTATTTAGAGGGTTCTGATTATGTGGGAGATTCTGAAATAGGGTTTTGCGTCTGATTTGGGTGTAGATTAGGGCTTAATTAGCTAAACCCATTTTCGATTTCCCGATAAATAGCCATGGGAGCTGAAAAAAATTGAAGCTTTTGATATAATAATAATAAAAAGAAGTCAATTTTTAGATTATATGCTTTTTACTGCGGTGTTAAAACTCCAGTTATTTGTGCCCAATGAACCAAGGAGTAAGAATTTTAGTTTTAATGGGCTACAGGTACTGATCATGGAACACTTTCTATCTTTTTATGTTTTGATTCATTAGAACTTAGGTATTGTACCATCCATGTTTGAGTTCGAAATTTCTGCTTTGTGTTATGTTTAATTTATAACTGTTTGATAAATTCTCAAGAAAGAGTTAACTTCACATAGTTGCGAGTTAATTTTTTTGCTTGCACAATATTGTGGACGCAACCAGTGAAGCTTATGAATAAAATTTGCAACAGGTCACACCTTTGATCGGAGGAATTGCTGTAGCTGCAGCAGCTTATGCTGGTAGATATAGCATTCAGGCTTGGCAAGCATTCAAAGCAAGACCACCTACAGCTAGGCTGCGTAAATTTTATGAAGGTGGTTTTCAATCTACCATGACACGAAGGGAAGCAGCTCTCATACTTGGAGTGAGGTACCGCCTGGCCTTTTATATACATATATATATGAATCTATATTGTGTTGTAAGTCGTGAAGTCTAGAAACGATGTTTAATGTACTTCATGGCGCTGATGGCATAAACATTTCTTTCATATGTTCCCATTGCTAGTATTGTCACAAATATGGCCTGTTATTGGGGTTAGGGCTATCTTATCTTTCAAAATGTGCCCTTGGTAGGTTTGAGCCTAGGCACAACTGATTGTTAAAGGGATGAACATGATACTTTCACCCTTCTGTGCAAGCCTGTCTGTTATTTAGAATCGAGAATTTTGTTAATTTCCTCTCTGCAAATATGTGCCCTTATTCTTCAACGGTCTTTTAACAATAGGGTTGGTTTTAAATTTAACTGACTATGTCATTGCTTGACACTTGAGGCGCTGCTCAGTGACATCCAATAGATTTTAGGCTCACCTTGTGCTCAAATAGAATTTTGGAATGCTTGTTGGTGCTTACACAAAGTTGATTGTCTGTGGTCGAGTTCTCTGCGACTCCTGAACAAACTCAACCTTAGTACTTAGGCCTCGTACATGCTTCCCTGGTTCTTGATGAGAATTTTCTTAATTGGAGTAATTAAAAGACGGGAAATTACAAATTTTCAAAATTAAAAGAGTAAAATGGCATGTTTCTGACATCCCCTTAGAGGGCTATCTCTATAGTACTAGTAGATTTCCCAGTAGCTTAAACCATATTACTTTGAGCTCAGCTTGTTAAGTGAATGAGCTGAACTGTTGATCTTAATAAGCTCATTCTTTTATCGAAAAATCGTACTTGAATATCTTTACAACTGGATGAACTGAACCCATGCACGGTCAGCCCTGCTCAATTAGAGCAAGTCTCAAGCAGTAAGTCTAAGACAAAATGCGGGCTGTAGGGTGCTGTTTCATCGTCTTATTGCATTTATCCTCTATTCATGATGTATTTGTTTGTATATATTTTTATATTTGTTTTCTCAGGGAGAGTACACCGACAGACAAGGTCAGGGAAGCGCATAGGAGGGTGATGGTTGCTAATCATCCGGATGCAGGGGGTAGCCATTACCTTGCATCTAAAATTAATGAAGCTAAAGATATTCTACTTGGAAGAACCAAGGGCACGGGCTCTGCATTTTGATGGTGTTGACTTGTCCGAATGCTCCAAAGGCCATTGTTTGTGAAGGTTTCACATAGAGAGTTTTAGATGTGTCATCTCCGTTTCGGATCAATTATTTTCATTGTATATCAACAGGCGGTTTCAGTAGCCATAAACGCATTAAGGATCCTGTAGTTGGACCCTCTTTGAAAGTCTTGTACCTTTAATTTCATGAACTTGCTTAGCATCAGGCCGAAGTTTGTGGGAAATATTGAGAGGTTGTCAATTATTTTAAAGTACGTGAACACATCTTCAGACCTAGATGTGATTAACAAACCTTTTCCTTGCGACTGTAACCAACAGACGATCAGGTAATGGAATAGCCAAAAGACTCCACTTGGCTTGAGTCATTTTAGCGATTTCGGCGCTACCAGTTTAGTAGTTTATAATTTCTATATAAACTCGCATTGGAAGTGCCATAAGCGAAATTGAGAGTATTAAGCTGAAAGCTGCATTGCATTTAGAGTTATATAATTTGTATAAAAGCACTACTTTAACAGTCAAAATCTGCATTGCATCCAAAGGAAAGCTGAAAGCTTTACTTTTTATTTTTGTCGAAGAAATGAAATACGACATTCATGGAATATGTCTAGCGAACACCACTGAATTTGAAACTTGGTTTTGTTTTTCCTTTTCGTGGCCTTAAAAGTTTAACAGTTAGCTGATCCGGCTGATCATAGTAGTCATCAACCCAAAAAAGGGAAAACAAGTCTCAACGGTAGAATCAACTTTGATTTGATATTTGCTGTTGCCTAGGCTGAGCATTAAACATAGGTCACTCGTGAATGATGGCTGGTGAGAAAAACCGTGCCACCCTAGAAGAGAACGAAAAAACCATACACATTTGTCGCACCGTTGCTTCTCATCATCTTATCGTCCAAAGCGAAAATCCTCCAAAACTTTCCAAACTCTATTTCATGCTCAGCCCCCAAAACTATTTGAGCTCTATTTCGTTCTCCCCTGAGCAGAGGAGTAACCTGCAGTAATTCTATGGTATTTACATCAGAATTCCAAGTCAAAAGAACCAATATATCATAAACGGCCGTGAGAGAATCAAGCATTTGTTGATATCATATCTCTTCTGAATTGCCTTCCGATGGAGTTGTATCTGTAGCGACTTTTTTTTCTACTGGACCTTGAGGGCTTCCAAAAAGTGTAGTAAAAATCTGTCTGTGGCATTCAACACAGAAATACAAGTAGGAGAAGTGGCCTTCATTTGGGAGCTTGTGCACATAAGCTCCAGGTAAAACCCGTGCTATATAGTCGGTCACCGTTGGTGGGACTATCATATCACCCATTCCCTGTGCAACATTTATTAGAAATATATCATTAATATAAAAGCCAAGTCGAGTTAATGAATGCGTTATGAATTAGATTAATTCTCTGTCCTTGGTTGGGAATTTCAGCTTTTGCACCAACCTGCCATATGTGTATCTGGCCTAGAAATCCAGTCAGCACGCATTCTGCCTCACCGTACATAGACCTGAATAAACGAAGAAAGCCTCTTTGTTGACACTGTTTCTGCACTTGAAGATCTGCCAAACTAAAACCCCACTCTGAGACTTGTAGCACAGCCTCCTCTATGAAGGGTTTGATACTCCCTTGGCGGATTGACTCCTCGACATCCCTTTGCAGATACCCTTCAATTTTTGGATCTTCAATTAGAATTTCATCCTGCAAATATCAAGATTATGAAAGTTGAGATCTTGTGCACTCAACTCAACTAGACATGCACAAAGTGGTCTGTCAGTACTTGTCTTAAACGGTGACAAAAATACGAAATTACTACTCAACCCAAGGCAGCAAAGCAGTCTCATCAACACAAAAATATCTTGGCGAGTATGATCAAAAGACAAAACTGCATAAAACCTGGGACTGATTCTGGGGAAAAAAGTGTACAATAGTGCAGACTATTTGAAGATGATAATAATGAACTCACCTTCTTCCCCAGTGAAAGAGACAACCACCTATCAATCCTGTCATGTTTTCCTGATAGAAAGCTTCGGCGATAAAAAGATGAGAGAAATTTTGGAAATCTACGAGCTAAAAAATACATCACTTTCCTTCTTAGAACCCATGGTTCCCAAATTTTCTTCCTCTCTTCCTTAGTCATGCCCGGCTCATAGGGATTGATTATTGGGGCCACCATGGCTGCACCTGCAAGTTCATTCAAGATTCTTAACAAAACAATTAATCCCTGAAGAATTCTTTAGAATAGGAGGTGAGAGTAAAAGGGTCAGCATAAAATAAGACCCGGATCTTTAAGGGCTGTTAATTAAGATTATGATGAGCATGTAAAGGACCCACACAGTCTTTGGATAAAATAATTTATATACCTGCAACTCTGTCAGGAATGTATCTGAGAGAAGCCCAAGCATGCATTGCTCCACTTGAGTGGCCCAGCACCCAGAACTTGTCATCAAAACCAACACCATTGACCAAGTACAGAATATCCAATGCTGATGAGTTAAGATCCCTGCCTGGATGAGGGTCACTCTCCCCAAAACCAGGAAGATCATATGTGACCAAGCGGATACCAAACTCTTCAAGCAATGATATCTTAATTCCTGGAATACCTTTTGATGAAAAAGAAGACATGGCGAAAAAATGGGAGTTAAGTTCATAAATTTATATCAAGAACATATATTACGGTCCCAAGATTACAACCACCTCAGATAATTTGGCATTGCTAGTAATTCATTTACCTGCAAGTCGGGATGAAAGGAAAGAATGTGGAGCAATCAATAAAAATCGAGTGCGCTCAGCTGGGACACCTTGTTCATGATAAGCCAATCGTCTCCCATCTGGAAGCAATACATGACTAGCACTAGGAGGATGTATTTGCACTTTCTTCACTGACCGAACCAAGCTATCATGTTCGGTACTGAAATTCATAGCTGCACGTGTTTAGTAATGTAGACACATCATATCATGCTTGTACCACGAAGGAAGATAAATGAATAGTGCAGTCAAATTCAAGTTTTGGAGATTCCACTCACAAAATGCTCGCAGTTCATTGAAAAACATTGACCAATCTAGAACGACTTTGCAATTTAAAACACAGCATATCAATCTAACATCAATCTATCCTGGCTATTAATGAAATCATAATTCTAACACATACAAAAAGGCTGGGAACAAGAATATCAAAACCACTCCATAGAGGAATTGAAGTGAAGATCTACAACTTTCCCTATACGAACAATCCTTTATCACACTATTTCACAAACTTATAAAGAAACTTCTTACACATATAGAAGTTTTCCTTTTGGCATAGAAAGAAACCCCTTTTTTTGTTGGGACAGTAAATGAAGGTTTTCCCTTCAATGGATACTTTGATACATTGCTACTCTTAGTGTGTGATATATCAGTCCTCTCCGTATTAAGATTGCAGAAAATCTGCTAAAAATCCTATTTATCAGTAACAATTTCACAGATCAAAGAGATTTATCATACAATTTCGCGAACTTAAAAAGAAATCATTACTTTACCAGTAACAATTTATTGAACAAAAAAAGCATAAACCTTTATAAAATTATCACACACCACTTGCACAACTGTATAACCAACTAGCTTTGAACATTCAAAAGTCATCAAACACAAACCAATATGAAGCAGAAGCAATATACCTGTAAGTGCAAGAATAGAAACGAAAAAGATCACCGGCCAAGCGTGAGCAGGATCGCGATCCTCTGGCAAAAACTCATTCAAGTATCTCAATTTCGCCGAGGCTTTGGCGCAGGGCTTCCGAAGCTTTCGCACAATGTACGAGTCCTCAGTCAGAATGTTCTGCTCCACAATGTCCTTACAGCCTCTCCCCAAATCCATAAGTATCTCACCCCAAGCGATCGCGAAGCCCTTAATCTGATCCCTGAAGCTCTCCGATTGCTCCAATTCGCCGGAGCCGAAATCGGATGCTTGTGCGTCAAACGAAGCCGTCGGAACTTCGATAGGATCGGCCGCAGCGTATCGTATCCCCGAGTCACTCACCAGACTCGCTAGCTCGTCCCGCCATGAGTTCGATCCTCTTACCTCCGACATTTTCACTGAAAACACAGTCTATTGAGAGCTCAGAGAATCATTGAGAAGTTTCAATGGAGTTGAGCACTAGAGCAACGGCAATGTGCATATACATACAGATATATATAATATGAGAGATGGAGAGAGAAAGATGCAGAGGTAATGATGTCAAAACTGCAACTTTTCAAGCGTGAAATTCAAGCAAGTTTTGTTTATTCTCATTTTTGTTATTAAAAAAAAAAAAATGAACCGACCACCATTCAAACCGAATCGAAACCAACACAGAAAAAGTAAAAAAAACAAAAATATTCAATAAAATAAAAAAAGCAAAGCCAAAAAGCACCTCTGCTCAGCTCAGCTGCGTTTATCTTTTACTTTCCAACACTGAAAATGTTGGTTGTTCCTCTGAAACTCTTGATCTGAATCGTATATCTACGGATACACATCATTCAACTTTTCATTGAAATTGACTTACTAACTGATTTTCAGCTCTTCGCCATCACTGGTCCTCTGCAAGCTCTCTTTATACGGAAAAGCTCTGTTCAGTGCGTGAAGATGAAGGTGAAGAGTCGAAGAAAACGAGAGCCGTTGATGAGGTCACTAATTGGGTGTGAAGCGGGGACTGACAGTTGCGATGCGTCCACGTCAGCAACTGCTACGCCGTGCTTTTAACGGCTGGCAACCGGTTCGGGGGGCGCGTGTCGTGTGGTTCTGCGCACACTGTCCACCTGGAATTGCCGGTGCATTGTACGTTGCTGGGCCCATGTGACATGGGAATGTTCTTTTTAATCTTTTATTCTCTCTAACTTAAGGCCTGGGTTATATTTTGTTCGATCTCAGCCGTTGGTTGTGGCAAAGTAATTGTAGTCCCATCGGACGGTGTTTAGCCCATGTTGTGCTTTTATAGGGACGTGAGTAAAATAATTTGCTCTTTAGTAAATGGAACGGTGAGCAGGGAGAGATTAGATGAGTTAGCTAAGATAATGAATTTACTATGTTTTATTTGATGACGCAGAGACCAGAGACTATAAATACGTGGAGATAGAGAGACTTTTGCTTTTGTTTTTCTCCTCTCAATTTCACAAATTTGCCCTAACCTAAATTTGTTTAGAGTAGTTTAGTGTTTTTTTTTAATTAAATGGAAGGGTGAGAGATGACGTGGAGATGATAGGCTTTTGCTATTTTATGTTTGTCTTTTGCACCTCATGAGGGGTGTCTAGAAAATACGCCTACAGTGACGAGGAATTGTATTGAGACGAGAGCTCGAATGGCAAACTTGTAACAACTCTAGTGTTATCTGTCTTAACCAAACGACGCGTTTTGGCTTTCAGCTGCTCTTAAATTTAGAGTTCACGACTATATTGGGCTGAGCCGAACATACATGGTTCGATTCTTGTTTTTTGGTGGGTTCTGGCTTGAGACCCAAAATCAATTTTTTTCTTTTTTCAAAACCCCAATTATTATTATTATTATTATTATTATTATTTTCACAATACCACTTTTTCAAACAGGCCATCAATTAAAGCCCATTTCGTTTTTCTTGCTCAAATTATGTAAATTCAACTATAACCTGATTTTTTTCTTTCAAGTATCTGAACTATCAAATTAAATTTCACAATTATCATCCCAACTATCAAATTAAATTTTACAACCCATGACCAAAACAAACAAAAAAATACAAATAAAGCACCAAATATATTCACTTGTATCAGTTAAGGGAGCTGCAAACAAAACATGACCACATGTAGCCCAAATGGTATTAATTTCCATTAACAATATATTCAACATGAGGAGCCACTCCATGTACCACATCATTGAACAATGGAGAATGAGCTAAAATGTTGATATCATTGTTGGATCCAGCGGTTCCAAAAAAGGCATGTCATATCCATGTGTTGTGCGAAGCCACGGCCTCTAGCACAACAGTAGGTTTTTTTTTTGTGACCGGTAAACTGGCATGCCCAAGAAGATGGGCAATTCTTCCATTCCCAATACATGCAGTCAAGACTTCCTAACATGCCTGGGAAGCCTCGACTGCTTTCCTTGTGCAATATTTTGTAAAAGTCAGTTGGATTTGGAGACCTGAGGTACCATTGGCCATACACGGCTTCAATAGCACAACAAAACTTACAAAGTGAATCAAGAGCTATGCTTTCACCCAATGTACAGTATTCGTCGGTCGCGTCAGCTGAGCATCCTCATGTGATACGATATACAACAGTTAACTTTTACTCAGGGGATAGCCCTTGTTGGCCGAGCCCATTTTTTTTTTTAAGCAAAAGTATGGCTCGTGGTTGACAACATCATTGAAGATGCGGTAAAACTCTTTCCGCATTCGAAACCGCCTATGAAATTCGGTAGTATTAAAATGTGGCCTTTCAACGAAGTAGTCGAACATGAGATTGCAATGGCGATCTTCCCTCTCACAGTTCTTGTACACACGACCGACTACCAACCCACCATGTTTGGTGGCTTCATTCTCCAGTGAAGTATGGTGGACAATGGCTTCTATCACTCTCTAATGATAATCTTCATCATCTGAATCATCATCAAACATAAAGGAAAAGATGACATTGCCACAATTATCTATTGAAAACTTCAAATGATATGAAAAGTACGAGAATGAATAAGATGATGTGCTTGAAATGACATCAAAAGTATGAGACATTGGAATTGCAACCGCTCTCTCACAACGAGTAGACACGTGGCATGGGCAACAGACAAACCCACCAAAGCTGGTCTTAGCTCGGGTCCTAGTGTTTTTCTCATGCACATGGGTTGTGCCACTTCAACGTTGGCTCCACTAAATAGTTTTGGGTCTAGGCAATAAGTGGACTGGTATTTGGGTCCAAATTTGGGTTTTTCCAAATTTCAAGTCCTTTATTTTCTTGAGTTGGGAAAGGTTTTGGATGATATTTTAGGTTCAGGTCCTTAGGTTGGATATGGCCTTAGGAAGCTTGAAACCGATATTCTCTAATCTCTTGGAAATATTTGCCAAACTATAATCATCGTGTCTTAATTAATTCCACACCTTAATTGGATGATGGGATAGGGCCCATAGAAGGAAAGAAAACACACACACACACACACGAGAACTTACAAAGAGGATGGGATAGGGCCCATTGTTTTTTATTGGGCTCGTGTTGGACTTTCTTCATTTTATTTGATTTTATTTTATTTCTTTTGAGGAGGTGGGCTTTCTTAGTTGTGTGAGCCCAACGGATACATAGAGGATCGGATAGAGTAGTTTATGGTAATTTTATCTCTCTGCCTGGCCTTGTATTTGAACCACCACAGAATGGGAGGAGTTCCTTTTTTGGTTAACAAAGATCATGATGATGTATGGCATTCTCATAAATTTAGAGTTCAGGATGATATATGAGCAAATAATGAAGGCATAGAGCTATTTGAATATAAATCTATCTTTGCTTGTGGAAAACATGCATTTCCAGTCATAAGAAAATCTGTTATCTTCCTAAACATGGAGAAGATTTTTATTTTTGACATTATATATGATTACAAAGCATGGAAGCACAGCCTCCGAATTCAAAACCACAAGCCTTTTGGGCTTACTACATTGCTCCCCCCATTCCATGGCAGAATCAAATTCACCCTCTTCCTCATCCATGAGCCCATGTGCATGATAATGAGCAATGCGCCCTGCAATCACTCTACACACCACAATGGCCTTCCTTGCACACTCTCCTTTCCCAGCACATTCCTTGGCCGCCTTCTCGTGTGCCTTCCAACTGTCGTGGACGAACGATATAGTCCCATCTCCGGTGTCAAACCCAGAAGCTATTATCCTGCAAACTTGGCAGCATTTCTTTTTACAAATGGTTGAGAAACCATTGATCCCTAAAGAACAAGTAATGGCGGCGCCATGGAATTGCAGAAGCTCATTCCCATCAACCACCAACCTCTCCACCCTCTTACGAATCCGATCCTTTTCGTACTTGGATTTCACCGTCTTCCTATACTCTTCAAAACCATGAAGAACATCCGAACTGTGGTGCACCCTCAACACCTTCTCAATTCTAAGGCCTACTTCACCAACCCAACCTGAGCGGATAATACTCTCTACAACACCAATGGAAGGGTCCCCTCCAACAAGCTCCGAGATCAAGTTAATGGGTTTTTCTGCCTTCGTCTTTGTGCTTTTTCTGGACTTGCTTGCAGAGGAAGAAGAAGAAGCTGCCTTGGGGCATGGTTTTTCCTTGGGTTTTGAAGGCACTTCCTTTCCAATTACAACACCATGTCGTTTTGAACCCTTTGGTGGAGAAGCAGAAGGGTCTTCTGGTTTTTGTTTCTGTGGGGATCTGGGTCTTGGCTTGGGCTTGAAACACTTTATGGTGGAGCTGGGATGGCAAACCAGAGCAGCCAGAGAAGCAGCAATCAGGCATCTTTCCACCATGCTTTTCTTTGTGAAAGTAACCATTGCTGTGCACCAAAGTGCACTCAAAAGATTTTTAAATCTCAAAACCCAAGATTCTAGTCCCAAAATTACGTTAACTTTAAGGCAAAATGGGAAAGTGGCTGATTTAATTGCATGATTTTGGGGTACCAGACCAGACATTACCGTATCATATATCACCAATAAAATCGCATGCCATATACGTAAATACACCAACCGTTAATGGGCCTTCTAGCATTTGAGCCCAAACTCCATGTTGGGCCTAAATTTCCAATGGGCAAAACCCACCGGCATTTACCTTTATTGGGTGAGTGCACTCTGCGATTTTCAAGCAGTAAAAACTGCAAGGCTTCTTGAGAGAGAGTTTAGAGAGAGAGCAAGAGAATGATCAAAACGTATGGGCGCAGCAGCGACATACATAGAAATCTTGTTGGCTATAATTCTTCCACCACTGGGTGTTCTAGGTACAGTCACATTGTCATTTATTCAATACAAAAAATTGGTGTGTTATATGTTTAATATTTAATATTAATGCTGATTAATTATTACTAATCATGATAAATATTTAATGCTGCTTTAATTTTTGCGTGTGGTTGTGGGTTGTTTGTGAAATTGCAGGTGCAATTTTGGATCAACTAGTTGCTGACGCTGTTGGGTTATATACCAGGAATTATATTTGCAATTTATGTCTTAGTAAAGAAAATGGTTAATCGTTTTGTTAGTCCCTGAATTTAGACTCGATTTGCATTTGAGTCCCTCAATTTCCAAAAATCGTTCTCGTGGTCCTTTAACTTCATTTCAACAAGAACAAATGGTTCTGTCGTCAATTTTGTTAACTTTTTCTATTAAATGCAAGGGCAAAATGGTATTTTTATATTTAAATAAATAAATAATCATATCTTTAAAATAACAATAAAAGAAAATCAAATAAAAAACCAACAAAAATAATAATAAATAAAAATCAAGTTTGGGGGAGTAGAAATCGGGATAGAGGGGGAGAGAGGGAGTTTAATTTTAATTTTTGTAGTTTTTAAATTTTTTATTCATATTTTAATCAATTAAATACAAAAATACCATTTTGTCCCTGTATATAATAGAAAAGTAAACAAAATTGACGGCATGACCATTTGTCTTAACGAAGCTGAAGTTGAAGGACCACATGAACGATTTTGAAAATTGAGGAACTCAAATGCAAATCATGTCTAAATTTAGGAACTAATAAAACGATTAAATCAAAAAGAAAAAAAGAAAAAAAAAACTAACAAGCTAGCTAGGAGCTAGGTTTCGGTTGGATCAAATGTTTACTTCTAGACTTCTAATGCATCAGATCTTTTATTAGTCGTCTGTTTGTGTAATGTGTAAATCTGATAGCCAATTGGACATATTTTAAGATCAAAATGTTGTGAATTTTGATCTTATTTTATTTATTTATTTATTTTTTATCATTAGTGATGTTTTCGATTTCCCATAGTTTTATGGATAAATCAGAGCTTCCAAAACCATTTGATGCATAAAAGGGTAAGGGGCAGAGTCAATTTGATTTGATCTGTTTGATTATCAATATAGTATAACATTTTCTCTCTTTACAGAGGAAAAAAAAGTATACGACAAGGGATAAGTAAACTTCTCTCTTGTTATAGATGCATATTTGTGTACAAACGAGGTTGAGAAATGAGAGAGTTTTGGGGCTAAAAATATGCTTTCAAAGAAGTTTTTGTTGATGTACATCTATATGTTGTGTAGTTAGAATCATCACGTGAATATTGAAAAGAAAAATACTACTAAATTAAGAGCCGGTTCTTTTATAGTATGATGGTGTTACAAATTTCCAAATTCAATAAATTGAAAGAGGAATAACACAATACAGTCAACTCCTTCATAACATTAGATTAACCAAGTGATGACCACTTACCAAATGAGTTCCACAAACTCCATACTATTGGGCATCATACGTGTTGTAATACCAATTTAATATTTGTACTTGAGTAGTTAACATGATAAAATAAAATATATTGCAAATCTGTTAGTTAAGCAAAGGCAATATTATTTCCATAGCAATTTGAGAATGATGTAATTTACAGACAAAGATCCCTCTCTCCCTACCCTCTCCTTATCTGATTTTGATAATTGTACAAGCAACAGATTATTAATTGGATGCCTAGCTAACCTAGTTTCTGTAGACTAGTAGCTGTTTAAACATGCTATCAGTGGAGTCTACAACAACCAAAGCCATGTTTTCTGATGCATTTTCAGCAATGAGTGTGACTTTCCCTTGCTTTTAAAGGGTCTTGCTTTTGTGAGTTGCTTTCCTCTTCATGTTCAAGGAAATGATCAAAATTATAAGCTATTAAAATAGCAACTTGCTTTTATTGCAAACAAAGCAAAGGCATAGACTAAACATATGAATATATTAGTGCCCTACAATAGAGGGCATGTGCCAATACATGACCTTAAAACCACTTACATTTACACTAGAAGAACACTTCACACCACTTATGGAAACTATATCTTCCTGTTTGTACATATGCTCAAAATGATTGATCATGGAAAAGGAGGGCCTACAATTTGGGAACATAAATAACTGCAAGTACAAAGCTGTATGGCTATATTTGATCTATGTTTATATCTTAGTTTTGGTGGTTCATTGATGTAATTTTGGGGGACCCCCATGAAGCAGGGACCTAGCTCATTACCACAAAGCAGGTGGCTTGGTGCATGTCATGGTTGAAAATACGGCCATGACCTATTTAAACTATGTCTCATTAGTCAATACATATTGATTGCATTGACCCAGCATGAGTCCTAAGTCAAGGGGAAGGTAGTTAAGATTCCAAGTAAAGCTCGGGGATCAATTAAAATGGGATCTGCACATTGGCTATGGAGTCTCAAATCATGAAGAAAACTATAAAATGGAAGCTTTGAACAAACCCAAGTGTGTCCCAATGCTTGTGCAAACCAGCTGTTAAGAGGAAGATACGTGAAGGATATGCTTACTTCAATGAACCAATTTCAAAACACATGGAAATTGAGAGAACAACAACTCTTTCTTATTTTAAGTAATTATAGCTTCAAACTCTGATTAATTAATACTTTTAAAATGGATCATGTGTAATCCCAAAACCTATTAAAGCACCAGAGCATTTTTAGCATTATTTATTCGCAAATTCTTATTGTATTGTTGGTTTATATCAATCAACGACTAACCGTTATATGTACATGAATAATTTACGTTAACAATTTTTAAAGCGTGATTAGTTATACATCATAGAGCGCACCTAAAATTCGTTTTATACTCAAAAGAAACTAAAATATAAAGGGATTGAGAGACCAACACAATTATGGATAGGCAGACCTAATAGAAACAAATCATTGGGGATTAGTTTAAGATGGAGCACAGGATATTACTATAATAAGTAAATTAACCATTTGTTTTGTATGTTGGAACTTTGGTTAGTGCTGGGCATAGACCTTTTCTCTTCACCCAAAAACTATTTAGGTAGCTGTAGCAATCACATTGGTAAGTAAGAGACCCATCACCATACCCATGTGATTGGGAGCGTGAAAGAGAGCGTTGAGTAATTGGAGCGTGACGCCAAAAACATCTTCTATAGCGAAATAGCCATTGCTTTGCTCTGTTGCTATCTTCCCTCCCTCCACTGACAAAAACAAAGATATGAAGAAAAGTAGTCTCGCTCACTTGGGAAGTGGGCACACAGAAACAGCTGCTGAAGAAGCTACCAAACCCTCCCAATGCTGCAACACAAAACCAAGCAAACACCAAGGTTTTCTGCCATTTTGAAAAGCTCCTTCTTTTTTTCTAGTTCATACACCCAACCGTTCATAAACCCAACATCAGCTAATTAGTACTAACCAACCTGAGGTATATAGCCACCCCAGTTGGACACAGAGATCATTCTGGTAAGAGCGAACTTTTGGTTCTCATTTCCAAACATTTCCCATTTTATATTATCATCTTTAAATTTATTCTTCTTTTTCTTTCTTTCCTTCTATTAAAAGTGTGTTAGCTTTTGTGGGTTTAAAGGGCTTGTCTTTGTCAATTTCTGGGTTCTCTTCCTTTTAGTTTGTTCTTATGTTTTCTCAAATACTTAAATGTCTGGGGAACTTGTGGTTTTGAATGAAAATGTGGGTTTCAGTTGAGCTGAAAGTTTCTTACTTTGCAACCTCTGGTTTGTAAAGCAGTCTCTGGATTTTGAAGGTTTGACAGTGAAGAAGAGCTGAAGTTTCTTTCTTTTCATGTTTTGCTTTTGAAGTGTTTTGGCTTAACCAAAAATGTCATTTTGTGTGTGTGGATTTTGCTAAGCATAAAGCTCCAATTTCCAGTGTCTCTCTTTGAGCTATTCATGTGCTAATTTGCTTTAGATCTGTTATAGAACCCAGTGTTCCACGGATCTAAGCGTTTCATCAAATTGGGGCGGTACTTAGTAATTTAGGATAATTGAAGAACACTTCAAATCATATTTGCTTGCATTGGTGCATTTCCAAAAATATTTTGTTATTGCTTTTTAATTTCAAGAAAGATTGGATGTCATCAAATAAACAGAAATGGTGTCCATTTGTGCTCTGCTGGGTCCAATATGCCCACAATAAATTACTTATTAACATAAGGGCCCTGCTTTCATCATGAGCATTTATGCAAAATAAAAAATAAAAATTGCCAATCCTACGTGGTTATTGTTGTCATTTTATAACCCTTCTTGCCCCTTTGTGTCTTTAATCATTTGTCTGGGACATAGTATAAGTACTGAGTAAAAGGGTGGGAAAATGAGAAAAAGGTAGTGACATGGTTTGCTTAATGAAACTTGCAGGTGCAGCTTTCTTTTATTTTACTTCTGAATATTTTGTGGGTTTGGTTGGTAGTAGTGGTGTTAGTTTCTGTGGACTTTCTTTTAAGGCAGGTGTGTTGTTTGTTTGCTTGTTAGGTTTTGTACTAAATACGGATCTAAGGTGGCCATCCTTTGTGACCCCTTTGCTTGTGTTTTTTGTGCATATATAAGATATTCTCT